TTTTTTTTTTGGTGATATAAACATTAAAAGGAAAATGAAACACAAAAAAGCTTGTTTACACCCCAAACTTAGACTCTAAAATGATACTGAATAAGATTTTTTATGATAATGCTCAAAATGAATTGAGTCCAAATTAGAAAGAGGTAAACAACTTCATGCTAAAACCTATACTACAACATCATGAAAATAAAAATATAACAATAAAAGAAATCTAACTACTATGTACATGAAAACAAAACAAAAAAGACTCATGTCAATCCGACTTCAATTCAGATATGAGCTTGCGCCCATTCATTGTTTTGATTTAAAATTTTTTTTGGTGTATAAATGTCTTTCCTAACCAATCCATCCAACAATATAAAAGATAATGATTCAAAATTCTCAACAAAACAAAGGTCCACACAAGTTTATTCAATTCCAACAATGGAGTATACAATTTCTCTTTATAAACTTATGCACTTAACTCCATTTCAATGTCCTCCCCAAGTTGAAAATTGTGAACTTCAACACCATTCTGATGACAAATTGACCCTGGGCTTAGTAAAATGCATGACCAACTATCCTCTGTAGAACTTGATCAAGGAATTGGAGAGGGAAATGGTCTTTCCTAGTCACTACGTTGAGCTTACAGTAATAAAAAAAATGCAACAACTCGTGATCACTTGGATAGACTATAACCCTGGACTCATCCTCCCCAAGAAAATCATACTTCAATCAGATGGGAGAGGTTTCAATTCTAATTTTGGTGGTTTGAAACTTGGTGAAAGNTTTTTTTTTTCATTAAAAATGTGCTCTCACCATGCTTTCTTCTGATCAATTAGGGCTTTTATGGGTTTTAATTTAGTGTCATTCATCCCTTTTTTTGTTTCCTCACCACATTTCCCTCTTTTCATGTTTAGTCACTATCAGCCTCAAAAGAAAACCAAGGTATGGTAATCATTTTGCACTGGCTCGACAAAACATGTGGAGTGGATCAAGCAATCATAGATCCCATAGCAATTAGGACATGCAAATATAGTTCAATATTAGATATTTTCCACAAAAAATTTTCAAAATTTTCAATTTTTTTTTTCAAATTTTCACATTTTCAACTATTCTATACAAAAAGTGGTGTACCATGTAAAGATGCACCTGAACCCTCAACTTGAACCATGCATTGTCCTCAATGCACAAAGAATCATGCAATGAGAAAAAACAAAAGTAACATGGAAAATAAGGTACCCCCCTTTCTCTCTATCTTTTTTTTTTTGGTGATATAAACATTAAAAGGAAAATGAAACACAAAAAAGCTTGTTTACACCCCAAACTTAGACTCTAAAATGATACTGAATAAGATTTTTTATGATAATGCTCAAAATGAATTGAGTCCAAATTAGAAAGAGGTAAACAACTTCATGCTAAAACCTATACTACAACATCATGAAAATAAAAATATAACAATAAAAGAAATCTAACTACTATGTACATGAAAACAAAACAAAAAAGACTCATGTCAATCCGACTTCAATTCAGATATGAGCTTGCGCCCATTCATTGTTTTGATTTAAAATTTTTTTTGGTGTATAAATGTCTTTCCTAACCAATCCATCCAACAATATAAAAGATAATGATTCAAAATTCTCAACAAAACAAAGGTCCACACAAGTTTATTCAATTCCAACAATGGAGTATACAATTTCTCTTTATAAACTTATGCACTTAACTCCATTTCAATGTCCTCCCCAAGTTGAAAATTGTGAACTTCAACACCATTCTGATGACAAATTGACCCTGGGCTTAGTAAAATGCATGACCAACTATCCTCTGTAGAACTTGATCAAGGAATTGGAGAGGGAAATGGTCTTTCCTAGTCACTACGTTGAGCTTACAGTAATAAAAAAAATGCAACAACTCGTGATCACTTGGATAGACTATAACCCTGGACTCATCCTCCCCAAGAAAATCATACTTCAATCAGATGGGAGAGGTTTCAATTCTAATTTTGGTGGTTTGAAACTTGGTGAAAGTGACTTATTGCCACTTGGATCTAACTCCTCAAATTTGGGCACCCATGGACTAACAACACTAATTGGTATGGCTTCTAAGTCCCTAGCTAAACTAAAATAGCCCTCCTCCAACAAGCACTCTAACTTAGAAGTCATAGACTCCACCAAAAAGGTCTCTATTGAATTCCTATACAATGCCTTATGCAAATTGTCTTGTACCGAAGATTCGATACAATAGACCTCCCTTACTTCTTCCCCTTCCCCCAGTTGTTTAGCAAATATTAAAGCTGTTCAATTTAAGGGTCATATTCTCAAAGGATAATTTCATGACACCATTCCTACAATTGATTAAGACATTTGAAGTAGCAAGGGAGGGTCTACCAAGAATGACATAAATTTGACTCCCCGAATGTACAATTGATTCAGTGTCCAAAACAATAAAGTCTACTAAGAATTAGAATTAGTCCACCTGGATAAAGACATCATCAACTATTCCCCTAGGAACGTTGATAGATCTGTCTACCAACCGTATTGTGATACTTGTAAGTTTGAGGTCGCCTAAATCTAGTTATTGGTAGACTGAATAGGGGAACAAGTTCTCCAAGATCAAGTAAAAGCTTGCTCAATCTTGAAGTTTCCGATTACACATGAAAATGGAGGACGCCCGAGATCCTTGTATTTGGGAGGGGCTTTGTGTTAGATTATGCCATTGGCTTGTTCAATTAAAAAGGTCCGCTTTTGAACATTATGATTTCTTTTGACTGTGCACAAAACTTGGCATAAGAAGGGACCTATTTGATGACATCTAAAAATGGAATACTGATCTTAATATCTTAAAAATCTCATAAATATCAGCATAATTATTTAACTTTTGGGGCTACTTAAGCCTTTAGGGAAAAAGAACAGGTATGGGACATGGTGGCTCCTCCTTCCTTATAGACTTAGTCTCATTGGGGTAGACTTATGTAGGATCAACAACAGGTGAAGAGTCTGTGTGTAGTGGTATATCCTTTTCTACAACCTTCCCACTTCTAAGATTGGTGACCACTTGGAGATGTTCTTGTGGAAGGTCTATGATGGGAGGGTTGCCTACTAGAAATTTACCTGTGCTTGTTTAGGTTGGGTATGAAATTTTCCCTTTTATTGTGTGGCCATGGAATGGGTCAAGTTAAGCATGTGACTTTTAAGATCATCAAAAGATTGTGATCCCTAGCTAACTCTTCTTCCTATTGATCCAAAATATTTTTCAAGTTGAGTTCCTCAGTATTTTGATTATTATAATTCAATTAGGCCTGCATGAGCTGGTTAAGCGTATCCTCCAGACTATGTTTCTAGGTGGCTGTTATGGTGGGTATTACGATTATGGTAGTCCTTCTGGTGGTTGATTGACAGGTGGCTGATGTCCATTTCTCCAAGTGAAGTTCAGATAGTTTTTCCACCCTAGATTATAGGTCTCAGAAAAGGGGTTGGACTATGGCTTGGTTTATTTGGAAATTATATTGGATTGCTCCAACAAAATCTCCTTAAATGCTAGTATAGTGGGGTAATGAAACACTCATTATTATTAATATCAAGAAACTAGATATCCTATCAAAAATTTTGCTTGGTGTAACATATGTTTATAAAACTTTTACCCATGGGGACAGAGTGCCATTGGAGCAAAATCGGTCTAGGAATGAACTTAAACTTGTTTGGGTCAAAAGCTTTGATGTCTCTCATGTTCCAATTTCTTTTGGAGAATACAAGATGCTTGATATACAAGAGCTTGGGTTTGCAGTTACAAAGCGAACAATTTTTTTCCATTATGGATCTTGAATTGGTTGTAAGTTTAAATTCAAACAAAAATCAAGGTGTCACATTCAAATTGGATGGGCTGGTCGGAATCATAAATTCAAATATTAAATTGAATTCATTGACAAATTATTTCCTACTCGGGGAGAACAATGCAGTACATGTGACGAAAATTTTAGTATTTTGTTCGAACGGGGTTAATGCCATTCAACTAGGAAAATCTAGAAGATTTATTTTATTTCCTAATTTAATTAGAAAATTATGTTATTTTATTTTCTAATTCAATTAGGATTTTTTTAATTTTGTTTTCTAATTATTTAGGATTTTAATTTTTTTAATTGCTTTAGGTTTCTACTACTATTTAAAGTCTTGTAAACCTTAGAACAAAGAAGTTTTTGATCAATAATATCATAGAGTAGGCTTGTTTCTCTATTGTTCAATTCGTTTCATATTTTTAGGAATCAACAAATCAATTGAAATTTTTAAAATTGATATTCTTAGTAAATCAACATACGTAGAATAAAATTCTAAACTAATACTGGTGCGCAAATAAACAGGTTGATCTCTTTGTCTCATTTCTAAATTGATATTGGTGTGCAAATAAACAGGTTGATCTCTTTGTCTCATTTCATTCGTTATATCTTTATTTCTACCTGTTTCTCAACATCACAATCTCTTTATCAAGTCTCAACCAACCGTTCGATTGTGCTAACTTGTTCCCAAACTCCTGATGCTGCAGCTTGACACATCTTGAGTTTAAGGGAGGTGTTAGAATATAATCTTTAATTTACAGTTTTGGTAGATTTATTTTAGGGCATTATTTTCTTCTTTATTTATTCCGTAAATATTAAATATTGTGTTTTCTTTTTTATATTTTACTCGAGGACTTTTAATCATTTCACTCCTTTGTATCATTTTAAAAAGGGTTGTACCCTAAGTGCAATAATTAATATACAATTGATATTGTTATTCAGATTTTTCAAATACAATCCTATCCTCAAATTTTTTACAGATACATATTTTGCATGGAAATGAACAATTCTATCATATACAGAACCATAAAGAACACAACACTATCCTCTGCTTTATACAAAATTACACATGGGATACTACACAGTGAAAACAATATACAGTTTCTAAACCTTGGTTTGAAGATTGAGCCCTAAAGACAATATCGCAAAAACCATGCAAGACATGGTTTATATAAACACCGATCAAAGAGTATCATAGAAGCCCGGATAAGTCATAGTCATATACACAGACATCCTGCTGAATTATTGAAGCGTAAGTATCATAGAATGGAATCGGCTCTATCTCTAAAAGCCATGACTCCATTTCCCTGTACTGTGAAAGTTCCATCTGATCATAATTGGCCTCCAAAGAACGGTCTGGTACGGTAAATGATGTCTTTATGTTCGGTTCAGGTAAATTTTCTAAAATGGTGAAAGGGTTTGGTGGTATGAAGCATAATTCTGACAAATCAAATGAAAAGTCGTCACCACTTTCTGGGTAACTTTGATCTTCAATGTCTATGGCGTCTGGGACTTGTTCAGTTGGTGACTGTATAGAGGGAGGAGGAGGGGATGAAATAGGACTTCCATTGCCAGTGAGCTCTTGAACAAGTCTTTTGAAGCTTGAAGAGTCTGTGATGTAGACCTTGGGTCTCAAAACCTTTATCAGGCTGTTTATCTGTTTCTTGTCATTCTTAGATATTTTCAGAGAAGCTTGACTTACTTTCTTTCCTGTGATTTCAAACTTGGGGTGTACTTTCTTCCCCATGATTTCAAGAAATCTTTACTCTTGGAATCAACTCCAAATCTTTCCGAAATCTTCTCCAAATCTTTTCGAAATCTTCTCCAGATTTTTCTTGTTGCTTCGAACGGAGCATCCTAAGAGATATTAATATCAAGGTATGATGGAGTTTGATATGGTTGAGGGTTAGACAAGGTGTGAATATACACAAGAAGACAGAAAACAGAAAGATGCTGAAAATGACCTTCATCCGAACTAAGGTATGTAAACACGAGTCCTTGTCTACCCTCTCTCTCTCTCTCTCTCTCTCTCTTATTCACTGTACGTTGTGAAACCCCCCATCATGAAAATGCTAAGATTTGTACCTTTGCGGAGGTTGGTGAATTTTTTTTTTTTTTGGTAATTAAAAAAACCTAGATGGTGATGAATTCGTGAGAATGCTGTGGAAAAATTAAAATAAAAAAAATTGATAAGCAATTTGACGTAGAAGAACAGTAAGGGCACGGACCTAAAAATCCAATGGCTCGTCTTATTCTGGTGACCGTTACATCAAGACGAGAGGGAGATGGAGTGGGTTCATATTACAGCTAGAGATTAAATTCATAATTTATAAAATTATAATAATGGTTACGATTAATTTATTTGTTATTTATTTTAATCTAATTATATAAAATTTATCTCAAAACATATTTTTTTGTTCAAAAATATCATTTTCTCTTCATACCTCTCAACGTCTAACAACTCAATCAACACATTTTTCAATATCAAATAATTTACTAATTCACACATATCCTCCCTCTTTTTTTCCTTTTTTCTCTGTGTTATTTTAATTTTAAATTACGTAATTAAAAAAATTATTATTTAAAATATAAATATTACAAAATCAATATTCAATTTTTTATCTTGAAAATGTGATCTATAATCTTGTATATCTAGCATGCAGGCTATTATTCAAAAAATGATCACAGGTCACCTGCGTACACAATCAGATGCAAATGCATTTGAAACTGATATTTTACCAATTTAGGCTAGTATGCAAAAATGATCACAGATCACCTGCGTGCACAATCAGATGCAAATGCATGTAAAACTGATATTTTACCAAGGACTACACTATGGTATCGAACTTTACTTTTAAAAATATTGTACCAAAAAATAAAAAATGCTCTAAAAGGTGATAAAATTTTACTCAAAATAAATGAACCCAAAAAAGTGAATGAGTCCCAAAAGCCATAACTTTTACCAAATAGTGGTATGGTTACTCCAAAAGATAATACGTGATATAGTACTGTGCGGGCTTGATCCTGCACGATATATATAAAATATTGGGAACAGATCTCTCCCCTGGTGAACTCTGGGTGAGCCGATTGAGTGGCCAAGCACACTGCTCGAAACAGCTTACGATCCTGGGAAAGGAGGAACGATCCTGTACGTGCGAAAGGTATTTCCTGGGACAAAAGAGAACAAGTTAGAAGGGCGCCGGAGTGTTTTCCGGCGTATCCCCTCCGACGGTCTAGTCAGTCTTTGAATGAGAGGGAGGAAGGAGAAAACACTGAGAAGGATATTTTGTAGTAGAGAGTTTGTGATTGCATACCCGCTTTGTCTTTTGGGAGGGGTATTTATACCTTAGAAGATCATGATTGCTGTCAGTGTGGTCAGTAGGTGATCATCAGGCACAGGTAGCGTGTGTATTGATTTGATGAGGAATGTCTTCTCTAATTGACTGCTCGGGGTCCCGAGCAATCAATGGTGAGTTGTCGGGACGCCGACGGTACAATATGCTCCTTTCGGGAAGGATGCAATAAATGCTCTGTAATAGGAGCATTTATTGCCTTTCATATCCGAACCTTACCGCATTGAATGCGGTCTCGTCAACAGAAGGGTGCAATTAATTGTTTGCTTTCCCAAGTCGCGTGTCAGCAACGGCACGCGGTTTGTCTGCTTCGGATGTGACATTATTTGCCACGCGTCCATCCCTTATTGGCCGTTACGTCGGTATTCCAGCACGTTCTGACATTACTTGTGTAAGAAGAGGTCATGATGAATAACCCATACTGGCATAGGCTGATGTCCAGTATGTCAGTAGCTTTATCCGGGAGTAGAGGAGGCGTCCAGGATGGAGTGACCCTCGGCGCCGAGGAAAGGCTCACCTCGGGACCAAGGGGTGGTGTGTCCCCGAGGTACACGTCTGACCGAGGACACGTGTTTGTTTGTATAATATACCGAATGTGTGATCCTACATGAGAGGTACCTCGGGGTAAAGGGCGCTCTTCGCCGATGGTGCTTACATCCGGGCACATTGTTCCAAAATATCCCGAGGACACGTGTCATCATCTTAGGGCTTTTCAGAAGAGTCCCATCAAGTACTATTTTTTTTTTTAATACCATAGTCAAATCTTTTTATTGTAATCAAACCTTTTAACAATGGAAATCTCCGGCACTTTAAATTCAACAAATTGGATAGTTTTTTAAAGTTAAGGACAAGACTGTCTCAAAAAATTACCTATGCGTATTGTATCAAAGTGATTAAAAAAAAGGCAATATTCTGACTCAATTTAATGAGTTTACAAGAAAATTAGTTTTTTGGGATCTTAAGATTTATCTCTATATTTTTTTGAGTCATAAATTGAACACATCAAGTTGTATTTGATTTTTTCATGTTTAATGGACTTTGAATGAGTTTTAATTAGTCTATATTTTTTTGTAATTTAGCATTACTGCTACGAATAATGTTACATTCATCAAAATTATGGACCAAATGAGGTAATATTATCACAGTGGTATTATTGATTTTATTTTTACAAATTTAAAATTTAAATATATTTTATTAAGATAATGTCACATCATTTAATTTATATTTTATATATATATATTTTTTTATTTCGGGCAATCTTCTCCTAAAAGTATTCTAAATGAGTAGATCTCACCGTTACACGGTAACCACATGGGTGCTTCTACTTGGTCTCCTTCGTCTTCAACAAATACGAGAACTAATGTTGATTGTATATTTGCTCAGCTCATCGGTATGAAAACGATTTTAGACATTACATCACAGCCGTTGCGAATGTATAAAATATTCATTTGCCTCCACGCCTGACCACCACGTCACATCAAAATCTGGAATTTTGGATCTGGCTGTCGTGCATGCTGATAGTGATCGATCGAGTTTCTCGCTCAACGGGATAACACAAGGGGGAAAAAATAAAAATAGGTATCTTCTCGAAATATGATTTTTGGACCGTGAATATTGATTTGAGTTATTTTTAATAATTAATCGTTAAATTAAAAAAAAAAAAAAACAAAATAATAATATTTTTCACAACTCATCTCGTGATTAGATTTAAGAAAGTAAAGTAAAGTAAAGTGACTTTCTAACACTCAAGTATCACCCAAAACAAGTTAGGGTGATTATCATTTTGTGAAAGGGAGGTGGAAGGAGAAAATATTTAGTGCTTTATAATTATGAGCCACTAAAAGTGAGAGTCTTGTGGTATTTACATTTAATAAAAAATTGTTAGAACAGCAAGAAAATGGTCCATTTTGGGATCTTCTTTTTCTAGTCAATGTTCTAAGTCTAACTCTAAGATAAAAACAGAAACATGGAAATCTTTTGTAGTAAACTGAGTATGTTTGTAACTTTGTTTAGTTAAATGAAGATGGAGATCATATTCTTTTCTTTGTTACTTTCTCATCATAGTCTTTATTGATTTCCACGAGATTATGCCAGACTTGCACACTCTTTCGGTTGGGGTGCTGAGATCTGTTGTATCTGGGACTGGCAGGGAATACTCCGTTAAGGAAGTCGCCTTGATGCAACGTGGTCGAGTGGTCCTAAAGAGTTTTGGAAATCAACGGTTATCTAAACTATATATTTATCAACTTTTTCTTAGCACTATGTCGGAATCATTAGATTAGTGGATCTTAAAATAACAAATGATTTTATTTATGTTATGTCAAATGAAAAAAATTAAGTTAGGATTTTCCGGTCAACTTATAATTATTCAAATATCATTTCATACATTATGTTAGGTATCAAGAAAAATCAATTTGACTTTAAAAGAGCCGTCCATTTTGATGAATAAATGGAAACATTATTGTGTTAATTTCTAACAATATTATTTTTTCCTATTGTCTCTACCAGGAAGAATTCGTATAAACCAAATTTTCAATTATTGTCTTGATTTTATGGGTCTCGAGAGGATGATTAGCCACACTAAGACTAAAACATGTCCTAGACTCCTACGAGAGGCAACAATGGAGAATATTTTACATTGGACGAAAGCCTGTCGGAGCAATACGGCGTGGGGGTAGAAGGAATAAACATCGGCTAAACTTTGTGCCAGGCCAAAGAAATAATACTATTTAGAAATATTCAATCAATTGGCTAAAGTGTAGGCAAACCATTCTCTTTCAAAAAAATATTCAAATCTTGATTGCGAAAAAGTTATATATACTGGCTAAAAAGAAGAAGTCTAACCATTATATCCAAAATAAAACTCAAAAAATGTTTGAATATTCAGTGTGAAATCTGCATTGGAATAACTTATACGTCTTCCCTATAACCATTTTGTTAACTACGAGGGTACGTGGAACTCTTAAAGCACCGTCCTAATCCTCTGCGGCCTATGTTGTCATTTTGTCTCATATACACTATATAATTAAAAATTAGACAATGATTTTAAGAGATATAACTAGATGTGATTATGTTACCTCCTTTGAAGTAGGGCATATGTCATTGAGCCATCCACTATCATCCAACGGTTGACAATAATTTAATACACAATTTTTTGTGCACAAAATAGGTGCACATAGAATTATTCTTCTAGCAATAGATTCATTAAGATAGCATTTCTTTGGGTATAACATATGATGCTCAGTATTTCGACTTTCAAGGATCCCACTTCTCAGATTATATATGAAATATCTAAATAATTATACTTACATCACTAATACTATTTGAACCTATTGTGCTGATACAATTTATTGACTTAATTCATCACAACCATTGGATTGATAACAAGTCTAAA